GGATGGATGGATGGATGGATGGATGGATGGATGGATGGATGGATGGATGGATGGATGGATGGATGGATGGATGGATGGATGGATGGACACCATAGCGGTCAACGGGGGCCGTTAGGATTTCTGTATCAGATGTTAAGTCTGCCTGGAAGGTTTCCAGGTGAGCTGAGATTTCAGCGCGGGACTCAGAGATGAAAACATAGTGGAGGTGGGAGACCTTCAGGCTCCTCCGTCCGCCTCTTTTCATTCAGAGGATTCATTGGTCCAGTTGCAGTTCTACTGGGGTCCCGACCTCTAATCTGGGGATAAATCATGATATTGATTGAGCGGAAAAAACGGCTTTATGAAACAGAACAACCAGAGTTGAACCAAACTTAGCGGCCTGTCTCGCTCTGTAGCACAGCCTCAATAAAGATAAATTAACCAAATGTGAAGCGAGTTTCAACGGAAGATAAAATGGAATATTTACAGCAGCAAAGGGACCAGAAACAGTTTAGAAAATAGTTTATATATTCGTTCCAGCAGACTTTAGTCAGGCGAAGCATTTCTTTATCTTGCTGGTGAAGATTCTAAGTCATCCAGGTCAAAGTCTTTCCAAAAATGTTAAAAATCAATCCACTGGACTTTGTTTTCCACGTTTGGAGACGTTTCTCTTCCATCCAGGAAGCTTTTTCAATTCAAAATGTCAGAAATAGTGTTGAGTTCCAGGTTTTATACATTAGCCCAACAAAGCCTTGATTTAGAGTTTTAGAGTTTTAGAGTTTAGAAAACATGCAAATAGAAACAGACGAAGGGGTCCAGTCCACCATTCCCCTCCAGCCCTTCATGGGGAAGTTGAAGTCAGTGTGATCCAGAACGGGAAGCTTATGGATGCTCAGAACTGTAAGAGAAGGAACCGACTGTTGGAGGTTTCATCCATCAACTTTTGTTAGCCTGCGATGCCCCATACCTGTCCATGTCTCTGAAAGGGGGAATAGTTGGCCTGGGTGAATAGGGGAGGTCTTCTGCTCCGCTGTAACCTCAACCCTTTCACAGGGGAACAGAATATGTCGCCTGTTCATATATTTATATAAGTCCAGTGAATTATTATTATTATTTTTTTACTTTTTTAGAATGTCTTTATCTTATTTCTCCGTTCCTGCTGTTTGAAAGCAGGCGTTTTTCAGGAGCTAAACATGCAGAGGGACCCTGACGCCGACAGTGACCACCTCTGGTTGGGAAATGAATCTGTCCATGGAAAGTAATTAGACACTCAGAGACTTTAATTACTCTCCTCTCTAACACCCCAGTGGTAAATATTTTAAACGGAGCCATAAAACCAACCAGCCCCCCCTCACTGGGACAAAATGTAACCCTACGTGTGGATGAATTATTGATCCCCCTCACTAATGAGTTGCTTTTGTTGTTTTTCCTTTAACCGCAGTTGAGCTCAGACCGCCCTGCCTTCTTTCCTTAGATCCACCGTGTTCGGTCCATCAGAACCCCCACCCTGGTTCTGTCCTTCCTTTGGGGGGTTTATTTAAAAGCTGAGGCCATTTAAAACAAGCAGGATACCAATGAGCCCCTCAACCCTAATCAGGAGTGAACTGGATTAAATCAGGTGCAATTAAAGGTAACTTCCTCCCCGTCTGAGGGGAGCACCCCCCTCCATCAACCATCCCATAATAGATATGGGTCACACTTGTTTACACGGTTCAGAAGGGCTTTGGTCATTTGAGCATTTTTAGAAGAATCAAAAACTGCCGTTCATGGAGGAAGGCGGAGTTAATGTGGAGTAAACGGTAAAACGTGATACTGCACTCTGATGGAGAGAGGAGGGATTACACCTCCATATGGAAAACTGATATGGGGGGGGCCTGGGTCCAAAAAGGAAATAAGTCAATAAATCAAATCAAACATGATCCTCTAATCGTTTTAATGAAAACATGGGGTTATAGTTTCATCTCTGTTGAAATGATTTGATGATTATCTATAAATTGCATAACAGGAACATTAATATAGCAAACATCTGCTGTAAGCTGATTAAATATGATTAAAATGTAGTTTTTCAATAAGAACAGGAGCATAAAGAAACTCAGACAGTTTACAGTAGAAAAAACCCAACAGAATTGTTGTTTTAAAAAAAGCTTCCTGCAGCCAATTATGGCTCAGGTAGAGCAAAAAAAAATCCTTCATCTGCTGCATCAGAAACAGGAAGTTGATAAATACCTTAAATCCAGCAGTGGGTGTTGCTTCTGGTGCTAAGGCTTTCAGAGGGAACCCATCAACTCCTGAATTTATATATATAGCTGATTGGGAGCAGGTGTGAACAGGAGCACAGGAAAATGACACCAACACAAGAGAGAGGCAACAGAGGGCAAAAATAAGAAAAGCTTAAGAACAGATCCACAAAACACAACGAAATAGGAATTAAACCAATAAAACTAGGAAACAAAGAAAAACATGAAACAACATGAAACTGAAAACTAAAAAAAAACCAAGATCATAACAGTAGAATAACATTTAGAATCAGCCATTGAGGCCAGAAACACTTTGAACTAAAGCTAATCTTTGTCACTAGATTAACTTGGCTGTAAACATT